CTTGAACTATTACTATACAAGTCACCAATTCTAGAAGATTATCTCTAAGTCTTCAATTTCCCATTCACAAGGTACAAACCCACATTACTACACTTTCATTAATTAACCTAGGGTTAGCCATGGAAAACATATAATATCATTTTAATAACATGATTCCCTACTAAATCAATCATAAACAAGTAATATCCACTCAATTGGATTCATACTCAACTTAACCCACAATATTGGAAGGAACCCTAACTTGAATTTGGGATTTTATCTTCACAATTGTGGTATATTTAGGGGACTCCATGGATGGAAGAATCCATGTATGAATGAGCTATCATACCTTTATTATAAAGCCCTCACAAATCTTGGAAGATTGGAAGAATTTGACCTAGCTTGATCCTCTTCTTTTTCTTCTTTCTAGAGAGAGAATTTCTTGGATGGAATTTGGTTTCCTTTAGGTGAATTGAAATATTGATTTGGAATCAGATAATTAAGGTTCTAATAGCTTTATATAGGTGGTATAATTACTAATAACACGACATCACATAATAACTAATTAATTCTAGAAAGCTCCCTTAACCCACACTTAAACCAACTTAAGACATCACTACCCCCAACGAACGAGACCACGTCCACGGGCCGTGGGTCCACCCACGGTCCATGCTGGTCATACGTGCATGAGGTTCTTCAAGTGGTATTTTAGGTCCTTGACCCACGACACCATCGACGTGGGTCCCCTCGTGGTTGTTGTCTTAGGTAGATTCTTGGGTGGTTTCTAGTGTCTTTTTCAAGGACCCTTGGTAGGTCCTTGGGGAGTCGTACCTCGATGTTTTAACCCTAAACCCCTCATTCTAAGTACGTGAAGACATTTCTATGACTCTAACCCTCACGACAAGCTCTAGAGTCCTCACTGAAGGCTCTAGTTTAGCCTACTAGTTTCCGGGTGTTACAATAACAAATTGCTGAAATGAGGGCCGAGATGCATAAGACTCGAGAGTTGGAAAATTTGGCTATCAATGCCAACACTCCTCTTCCAAAGAATGAAAAACCTCCACTTCAATTCCCTACTCATAATCCAACACCAGAACATTTCCCACATAATCGAGCTAGTGTTCCAGTCCAAAAGCCTCCCACCGTCGAATTAAACATACCTATCCAAAATCATGCTAGCTCTTCGTACCAAACAACGCATCCTTCTCAAAGCCTAAATTATAACAACTCTCAAACATTCCCTTCTATGTACCAAACTCCCCCTCAAAACACTTCAAACCCACCGACTACTCAACCTCTACCTCCAAAAGCCACTTTCCATATTCCAATCCTTACAGAACCACATTTTCCATACACTACATATCCCAAACTTGTTCACTATGAGGAAAAGGAAAAGGAGTGGAGGGTCAAAGAGGAGATGAATAAGTAGAGCACGAAGGAAGAAATTATGAAAGCTATGAAAGAGCTTCATTACACTCTAGATATTATGGGACTGAACTACGAAGACTTGTGTATCCACCCAAACTTGGACCTTCCCGAGGGTTTTAAGGTACCAAAGTGTGACACTTTTGGAGGAACTGGAAACCCCTTAGCTCATTTGAGGGCGTATTGTGACCAGCTCGTGAGAGTTGGGAAAAATGAAGCAATATTGATGCGACTCTTTAGCCAAAGTTTGAATGGGGAGGCCTTGGAATGATTCGCCTCCCAATACATAAAACAATGGTCTTGTTGGAATACATTAGCTAAAGATTTTATTTAGATATTTTCTTATAATATAGAGATCGTTCCAGATCAATACTCTTTGGAAAATATTAGGCAAAAATCCACCAAAAACTACCCTGAAAAGGTATACAGATGGAGAAAAGAGGTTGCTAAAGTTCAACTTCCCATGTAAAAAAAGAGATCACTGAAGTATTTGTGCGCATCCAAGAGCCAGAATACTACAATAGAATGAAGTTGCACATTGGACCATAAATGGCAAGCTATTTAGGGAAAGGATCTCCATTAAATGGTTCTATGTATGATTGTAACTTGCCCCTTAGTATAGATGAAGATATGCTAGCTGAATATTTTGGCATAATAGGGGTGCTAAAGGTATGGTTATGAATAGATACTTCTAATTATGTTTGAGAATGTTTGTTATATGATTTAGTAATGATTTTCTCAGCTACTAGGATAATTGGTTTTAATCAACTATCATATGTTGGTATGTACATGAATTACTAGTCTATAAAAATTGATTCTTCTATCATGATTCATCTTGTTCCTCTTTTTCCAAAGCTCTCATATGATGATTAACCATGACTAGTGTCGAGTGTGAATTTTTTTCTAACATTTAATTTTCTTTTGAATGTGTAGGAAAATGCAGGTGATCAAATTTGAACAATGGCCCCAGGTCAACTCAATATATTGGAGCGAACGATATAGTGTTTTTGAACTACTATTATATATGTTTGAATAGATTGTAAAATTTATTGCTAGTACACCACTTTAAAATATCTCTTTCTAAGTATGTAGTACAAGACATATTTTTTGAAGTTTATTGTAAATCTATATATTGAACTCTTTATTAGCTAATTTGATGTTTGAGATCATTTATATATTATACAATTATGTGATTAGTGAATCTATCCAAACCAAACTTATTGTTTTCCAATTAGAAATTGTGGCTATAAAAATTCTAAACATTGTTGCCACACTTTAATAGTGTGGCTAGAGGGATGCCAATTTTATGGCTTATTGATTATAAAATGTAGTACATACATTTGAAAAGGCTACACTTTATAAGTGTTGTTGAAGATATATAAAAAACTAAAATTTTAAAGTGTGGCCAATAACAAAGCAAAGGGCACGCTATAAAGTGTAGTTTTATCAAATAAAAGTGTTGCCAATGAGATGCTACAAAGTGTGGCCTTTGTACCTCATCAGCAATGCTTTTTAAATGTAGCTGCTACTGTAACACTTGAAAAGTGTAGCCTAAGATCAAAGGTTACACCTTTTTAGGCCACTCCCAAAAAAGTGTTGCCTAAAGTCAAAAAGTGTTGCCTTTTATCAAAGGCCACACTTTTTGCTAGTTTAGGCCACACTTTACAAGGGTGGCTGAAAGCCTAAAATGTTGTAATGCCATTACCGAATATCCACATTCTCATCGACAACTGTTCTAAGCATGAAATGTAATCATTTGTGGATTTCTTTCCGGGTTATCATCAAATTTTGATGGATGAAAAAGATGCTGAAAAGATAACTTTCATTATACCTTGGGGTTTTTATCATTACCGGGTAATGCCATTTGGTCTAAAGAATGTCAGGGCCACATACATGAGAGCCATGATGGCTATCTTCCATGATATGATCCTTAGGGAGATTGAAGTGTATGTGGATGATGTAATCATCAAGTCCTGCGAGAGTTCAGATCACTTGACCCATTTGAGAAAGTTCTTTGATCGATTACGTCAATATAACTTGAAGTTGAATCTCGCTAAATGTTCTTTTGGAGTACCAGCTAGTAAATTATTGGATTTCATAGTCAATAGAAGAGGCATTAAGCTTGATCCTACCAAAGTCAAAGCGATTTAGGATTTACCAACTCCGATGGCTAAGAAAGAAGTTATGAGTTTCCTTGGAAGATTGAACTATATCAGTCGATTCATATATCAATTCACAGTGGTTTGCGATCCTATCTTTAAGTTGTTCAAAAAATATGTACTGACGGTGTGGACCGAAGACTGTCAAAAAGCTTTCAATACTATCAAAGATTATCTGACAAATCCACTAGTATTGGTATCTCTGCGAGAAGGAAGTCCATTGTGACTATACTTGTCCGTCTCAGAAAATGTATTCGGGTGTGTATTAGGACAATATGACGAAATGGGAAAGAAGGAAAGCGCGATCTACTATCATAGCAAGAAGTTTACTCCATATGAGGCTCGATACACTCTATTCGAAAGAACATGATGTACTTTGACTTGGATCGCACAAAAGCTAAGGCATTATTTGTTTTCATATACTACATATCTTATTTCCATGATTGATCCATTGAAGTATATGTTCCAGAAAGCTATGCCAATTGGAAAACTGGCGAAATGGCAAATGCTTCTAAGCGAGTTTGACATTGTGTATGTTACTAAAAAAGCGGTAAAAGGACAAGCCCTAGCCGATCATCTTGCAGAAAATCCAATCGACGAAGAATATGAACCGCTCAAAACATACTTTTGTGATAAAGATGTGTTGTTCATAGGATAAAGCATTTCTAAGTCATACCCTGGTTGGAGAATATTCTTTGATGGAGCGGTGAATTATAATGGAGCTGGAATTGGAGTGGTTCTAATATCGGAATCCGGTCAACATTACCCCGTGGCGGATGAACTTTGATTTTATTGCACTAACAATATGGCGGAGTATGAGGCTTGCATTCTTGGCATAATGTTAGCCATCAACATGAATGCCCAAGAGTTGCTATTAATTGGATATTCAGACTTGTTAATTCACTAGGTTCAAGGGGAATGGGACGTGAAGAATCAAAAGATTGTACCATATGTACAATTGGTGCAAAGGTTGTGCAAAAGATTTCGAAAGATAGAGTTTATGCTCACTCCAAGGTTGCCAAATGAATTTGTCGATGCCCTTGCCACTATTTCCTCTATGATCAAGCATCCGGATCAGAATTACATTGATCATTTGGAGATAGATTTAAAGGAACAACCCGCTCATTGTTCGCAAGTCGAAGCGGAACCAGACGGAAAACCTTGGTATTACGATATAAAGAAGTACCTATAGATTGGAATTTATCCAGAAGATGTGAAATCCAATCAAAAGAAGGCAATACGTCAATTGGCTAACAATTTCTTTCCAAGTGGGGAAATCCTTTATAGGAGGACTCCAAATTTGGGACTCCTCAGGTGCGTAGATTCGATGGAAGCTACAAGACTTCTCGAAGAAGTACATGTTGGAGTCTGTGGACCTTATATGAACTGCCTTACCTTAACAAAGAAGATGTTTGAGCTGATTATTTTTGGACGACTATGGAGCACGATTATTGTAGATTTGTGAAAAAGTGTCATAAATATGAAGTACATCGTGATTTGATCCGAGTACCCCCTCACAAACTTAATGCTATAGGATCGCCTTGGCCATTCGTGGCCCAGGGCATAGATGTCATTGGCTCAATTGAGCCACTCGCCTCTAATGGACATAGATTCATTTTGGTTGCCATTGATTACTTCACAAAGTGGGTGGAGGCAACTTCTTGTAAATCGGTGACGGAGAAGGTAGGAGCTGATTTTGTTCGTAACAACTTGATATGTCAATTTGGACTACTTGATTCCATTATTACAAACAATGGTGCAAACCTCAACAGTCATTTGATGAAGGAGATATGTGAGCAATTCAATATTACTCACCAAAATTTGAATACTTATCATCCTCAAATGAAAGAAGCCGTAGAAGCTGCCAATAAGAACATCAAAAAGATCTTGAAAAAGATTATAATCACAAGGTTGGCATGAGATGTTACCATATACTTTGTTGGGATACCGAACAACCGTTAGAACATCAATTGGAGAAACTCCATACTTGCAAGTATAAGGGACACAAGGACTGATACCTGCTAAAGTTGAAATACCTTCATTGAGGATCATTCAAGAAACTGAACTGAGAAATGTTGATTGGGTTCGTAATCGGATTGAACACTTAGCCTTAATTGATTTAAAGAGGATGACCGTTGTTTGTCATGGCCAATTATATCAACAGAGAATGATTCGTTCTTTCAATAAAAAAGTGAGATCTCGAACATTTGAAGAAGGACAATTGGTCCTCAAACGCATCTTCCCCCATAAAGATGAGTATAAAGGGAAATTTGCACCAAATTCACTAGGACCATACATGGTTCGTAAAGTGTTAACTGGAGGTGCCTTGATCCTGCCAGAAATGGATGGCCAGGAGTGGCCAAAACCAATCAACACAGGTTCTCTAAAGATATACTACGTCTCTATGTTTGGAGATTAGTTTTTATCTCATCACTTTCCTTATAATGGTTTCATTTACTTGTAACTGCTTATGCCAATTTTTTATATCCTTGTATTGAACTACGTCAGACATGAAATCTCAAAAATGAGATGCGTAGGCGGCCTATATCTGCCTCGGTCATTATCTTATTAAAATTTCCTATTTCTTTTATTCCAAAAAGGGGAACTATGTTTGACCTGATTCCTGCCTCAACGGGATACATAGGTGCCGTAATGGCTCGATCATACACCCCATAAAATTTCCATTACCCTTTATAATGGAAACTGGGGTAGAATTTTTTAGAGGAGCTCAAAAATTCTAAAGATCCTTTGCCAGCAAGACATGATTAAGCATGCATTATGAAAGAGCAATTGGGACAAAAATTTTGAGAAGATCTCAAAAATTCCGCAAGTCTTCCTACCAAAGATTTGAGAAATGCCAAGACATTTCGCTGGGGCAGAATTTTTGAGAGGATCTCAAAAATTCTATTAGCTACTATCAAAAGTTCAAAGTTAACGACAAGTAAACTTCAGTGTGATCAGAAGCTCATGAACCCCAATATCTCAGAAATTCAAAGTCAAACTTCAATTATCTTCTAATCTCCCCAAAATAAAATGACTTTTAGATTGGATATATCGAAACTTGAACTGAAGTTTTCATTTAAGCTTTAATGCTACATGACACTTGGTAGTGACCCTCATTAAATTACTTTTCAAAAATCTATTTTTCTTAAAACATTAGACATATATCAAATATTTTGTATAAAATATAGATCTATCTTATGACTACCAAGAAGCGAGAAGTTAGAAGCAATCAACCAAAGATAGGAAGAGGAAGAGCAAGTAATCAAAGAAGTCAACACAAATTAGCTCATTTTAAACTAATATATTTTCCGTGGATGCACGTTTACAAGGATATCAAGAGATCATCATGTTCAACAAATATGTTAAAGTTAGAAGAACTAAAGCGCCCAAGATTGATATTTTCTTTATGCAGGAAAAGGTATTGATTTTCCAGCGATAAAAATAGTTAACTTAATATTTTGAAAAACAACGTCTTGTTCATATTTCTCAACAAAAATAGGAGCCACAATGAAGATACAAGTGGTCAAAGAAAAGTAGGTGAAAGCATTGAGAGGATGACGCTTTAAGATGTACAAATGACTATAATAACGTCATATTACATTTTCCAGCATCAAAGACGTCTGAAGGGCACACGTCAAATATCGAAGAGAATTTGAAGTGTAACTTGCCAAAAAATATTCATTGCTTCAACTCAACTGACTCGATATAAGGCCTCGACCTACGCTAAGAGACTTTCTCAGTGGAACTAACAAAAAAGAGTTTGGGCACGTTAAGGTCGGAAGAGGCTAACGATGAAGGACATTTGAAAGTCACATCTATACCAGACACGGTGATATGCATTGCTGAAAGACCATTTCATGTCATTTCATCGGAGGTAATGATTTCATTGCCGAAAGGGCCATTCATATTATATTATCAGAGCTGATAATATCATTGCCAAGAGGGCTATCAATATTATATTACCAAAGGTAGTAATATTATTGCCGAGAGGGTCATCCATATAATATTATCAGAGGTGATAATATTATTGCCGAGAAGGCCATCACCATAGTATTAGCAAAGGTGGCAATATCATTTCCAAGAGGTCCATCACTATTATATTACCAAAGGTAATAATATCATTGTTGTGAGGGTCATCCATATTATATTATCAGAGGTGATAATATCATTGCCAAGAGGGCCATCAATATTATATTACCAAAGATAGTAATATCATTGCCGAGAGGGTCATCCATATTATATTATTAGAGGTGATAAGATCATTGTTGAGAGGTTCATCAACATTATATTACCAAAGGTGGTAATATTATTGCCAAGAGGGCCATCAATATTATATTACCAAAGGTAGTAATATCATTGCCGAGAGGCTCATCCATATTATATTATTAGACGTGATAATCTCATTGTCGAGAGGGCCATCAATATTATATTACCAAAGGTGGTAATATCATTGTCGAGAGGACTATCCATTTCATATTATCAAAGATGGTAATATTATAGCCGAGAGGGCCATCCACATTATATTATCAGAGGTGATAATGTTATTGCCGAGAGAGCCATCGACATGATATTAATAAAGGTTGTCATATCATTACCGAGAGGGTCATCCATATCATTTGCCGGAAGAGGTGATATAATTCTCAAAAGGGCCACGAACACATAACTACATATCAAGTCATCATATATTGTTTCAAAAATGGAGGAGGCTGAAGTTTGAGAAGTACATTATAAATCATCAAACTTTGGAAAGGTGCCTCATTTGCTCTATGTGAAAATTGGAGGAGGCTGGCGTACCAACGTAGTAAAGACACTACATTCCTATTTGAATTACAGTTTCCACTAATTAGTTTTATCTTAGTCTTTATCGAGAGCATATGAGATGATGCATTCTCAATTAAACCACAGGTGCAGACGTCATCAAAAAGGATGCAACACAACGTGGAACTTTTTCTTAACAGCGAACTGGGACCAGTATGATGAGGAATATCAAACTCCCTAGACGCGAGCCGAGGAGCGACTTCCACCACAATCAAACCAAACCCCTATCAGAAGGCATGTGGGTAGTTTCTTGAGGTCTTACAGTTTTAGTTTCACATTTGATTTAATTTTTTACTCCAATTAGAAGAAAATCTTCAAATCCGAGTGACAGTACACCAAAAGTTTTGAAAACTATATCCTTGTAATTTCTTATTTATGGATGTGATGAGCTCAACATTCATGACTAAGAGATTGAAAGCCTTTTTTTCCAGAACTCGATTTGTTTGTCACTCTTCCTGAACCAAAGGTTATCTTAACATAATAGATTTCCTTTCCAACTGATTGAGTTGAACTATACACAGCTTGATTCCTGAGGTCGAGGGATATGTAGGGGGACTCCATGTTGAAGACTCGGCTATAGTCCAACAATCTTCCTTTAATCTTATTTCTGAGCATTTCGGTCTCTCCATAATTTGATAATGTGATAGGTTTTTGAATTTTATAAAAAGCACCATCTGTCAAATCAAGCGTTGTTTTGAACTAAATGGACTGAGTTCTCATGTAAGTCGAGATACATACGAAAGTCAATGCTAGGGTCCAACCATAATTCCTCAAATTCTGTATCGAGCCTTTCTCTCAAAAAGATGAAATGGATTCGGTCAAAATTGGATTCGTCAATCTTGTTTGCCCAGGTTTTCTTTCATCGGCCCTACCCAAAGAATGGGGCAGTTGTTGACATCCACTTTTAACCCTATGCAATTCGACTTAACTATCGAGCTTCTTCAATTTCAAAAAATTAAAAATAATCTTCTATGAAAAGTCTTAAAAATATATATATAGATTTTAAAATATCTTTCTAATTAGTTTTGTTTAGTATTTTTCAGAAACAATTATATAATTTTACATATTGGTTTGTATAATTTTCATCTTTTATATAAATATTTAGTAAAATAGCTGTAACACCCCTCAAATTGAAGTAGGATAAAGTAGAGCCTCACATGGGTCCTATGCATTAATAACTTGTTAAAATAATGAATAATAGCCTTTTTAGTCAGTTTTAAAGAGTTTGGAAGTCAAACGTCAAGGGACGACCAAGACGTTCGGAAACTAGTCTTTTACGTGTTGGTGTGTTATAGTATGTTGTTCATGTTTTATGTGTTATATGGAGTCTAAAATCAGTGGAGGTGACCCTAGTGTCTTAATAAATGTTTTTAAGGTCAAAACGTTCGGGTACGACTCCTCGGGACTACCCTAAGGGTCCCCGAAGAGGACCCCAACCCTTGGCCAAGCAAGCTGCCAAGGCAGCTTGAAGTTGTTCTTGGAGAGAGTGGCTCCGCGTCGCGTACCTGCTCCACCAATGGCCAAAAAGTGGCTTCGCATCGCAGAGACACCGCGGACTCTACTGTCTTGAAATTTAATTTTTAGGAACTTGTGGGAACACCCTGCGTCGCGGACTTGTTTCCCGACGAAATCTGTGAAAATAAAACTCAATTTTGACTTGTTAAAAAAGGTCCAACTAAGTGAGGGGTAGTTTGGGTACTTTGGGTTATTATTACTTTAAGTGTTTTCAAGTATTTTAAAGGTATTAAAACATTTGAGAGGTGTTTTTGAATTCATTCTTCAAATTAAAAACTCCCAAAAGACTTTCTCTCCCTAAAGTTCTCTCAAGTTCAAGGAAGAAGAAGGTGGAGAGCTAGGGTTTCAATTGCGGGTTCCCTTCCACCAAATTTCGTTGAGAGTTCATCCATTGAGGTATGGTGGCTCTTCATCTAGGACTCATCTTCATCCTAAAGTCAATTTCAAAGGATTTTACAATGTTTTCAAAAATTGACTAAAAGCTTGGTTTTGAATTCTATCAAGCTGCATGAAAATGATTTCAAACGTTTGGGTATGGATTAATTGATGTTTGTTTGTGGTTTTTGAATGAAATACTCCATCAACCCTTGTCTTCTACAAAACCCTAAAATTTGCTATGAAGTGGGTCTATTTCTATAAATTCAAAGTTGATGGAATTATGTGTAAAGTGAATTGTATTGATATCCCTTGTGTTGTTTAATGTTTATTTATGATTAATTGTTGATAATGGATGAATTAAGGGTGGTAAGCCTTATGGGTGAAGTATTGGTGATTTTGGCTATGGCTTTGGGTTATGGTAAGAAAGCTTGAACTCTCTTTATTGAGTTGATTGTTGTTGGTAGATTGAATCCACCTTTGGTGGAAGTGTTATATCTTATTCTTGTATGGTATTATTGTGAATTGTAGCCATGAAGGCATTGGTGAAGTTGTTGTATAATGTGGGAATATTGAATTATTGTGAATTGAGGCCATGAAGAGCATTATATGAGTGTTATTACATTGTTGTATTATTATAAACATATGAGGCTATATGTAAAGTCCTATATGAAGCTATATGTAAAGTTTGTGTGAATCTATAATGTG